GCTTATCCTCATCATTGCCGTCCGAATCGGTTTCGTCGTCGTCGTCGTTGTCGTCGTCTTCGTCCTCGACGGCGTCACCATCGCCGCCGTCGTCGTCATCGCCGTCATCGACCCTCGGACCTTCCCGCAGCGCGTTCTGCGTGGCGACGAGGAGGCCATCCACCGAAAGCCCATCAAGTGAGGAAGAGGACGAGGAGGAGAAGGAGGAGGATGAGGAAAAGGAGGAGGATGAGGAGGAGGAGGACGAGGAGGAGGAGGAGGAGGAGGAGGAGGAGAAGGAGGAGGATGGGAACGTGCTTCGTGAGATACGGAAGTACAGGGGGAGGTGAAGCCAGAGGAAGGAAACTTGCTGCGTGGAGGCTGTGAGCTGGCTTGGTTGAAAGACCCTCGTCCGCTGGCGCCGTGAGCCGCTGCGCAGGCGCCCTGGCGCCCCGAATCGCTCAATTCGTCCAGCGGCTGGCCGTCCATGAACGGTTCCCGCAGCCGCGCTGCTTGCTCCCGGTCTCACTGGACGGCTGCATCCAGACTATCGAAGCCGTGCAGCTCGGCCACCCTGCGCGCGTCCGCTGCTTGGTCGGCTGCACGAGGAGTGAGGTGCGCGGCTGTAGGTGGCCGCGGCCAATGCTGGTGGGATCCCTTCCCTGTGCGCCCACAAAAAAAAGGCCACTCCAGCCACCGAAAGGTCACTTTTGCGCGTAGCCGACGTGGGCCCTCAGGCCGCACCTGGTGCCAGCTGGGGCGTGGGCCTCCTGGCCACCAGGACCCCCGCTGCCCAACCCGGGCGCTCATGGTCTTTCCATCGTTCGGACTTCCATTCGGCTGCGTGCGTGCTTCTTTTCGCAAGACGATCCCAAATGCTCACAGCTGTTCCAGCTTTTCGGGCGCCGGCCTCGCCGAAACGAATGCACATGGCCGAGCGATGCCACGCAGTGCGAGGCGGGCGTCGCTGGGGCCCCCTCGCCCCAGACCCGGGAGGGTGCCCACCCGCTCCCGCGAGTGCTCCCGCCGCTCCGCGCGGGCACGCTGGCCTTTCCTGCCGGGGTCGCTGCTGCCCGAGCACGGTGCGTTCCGCCCGTGGCGCTGCGCGCTCGCCCCGCAACGTGAGGCAGACAATCACATCGGGGGCCGCTTTGCTCTGCTCGTCCACAACCGATGCCTGCGCGATGGCGTGCCCGCGCTCGCGCCACGGCTGGCCGCGCCTGTCGGCTGGGCTGTCGTTCGGCACGCTGCAGAACTGAAATCCGGCGGGCCTTGGGCCGTCTTGCCGCGCAAGCTCTGCGTCATCAGCCTGCTCCTTCCGCTTGCCGTCGATGTCGCAGTGAGGTCCGCGGTGCTGGTCGCCCCGTCGCTGTTTTCGAGGCCATGGCTGCCGCGTCTCTGCCCCAACTCGTCGATCCAGCGCCCCAACTGCACCCCGCGCCGCAAGCAAGGTCGGGCGAACAGAAGGGAGGCGGAAGACTAAGGGCAAGTGCTTCGTGGAGGAGGAGGAGGAGGTTGAGGGAGAAGCAGGTTTTTCGAGGAGGAGGAAGCGGAGGACGAAGGCCAAGTGCATTGTGGGGGCAGAGGAGGGGGAGGGGGATGATGATGAGGAAGTGATGAGGATGATGCTGACGGTGGTGATGATGATGATGGAACTGATGCTGCTGCTGATGATGATGATGATGATGATGGTGGTGGTGGTGATGATGCTGCTGCTGAGGAGGAAGCGGAGGAGGAGAAGGAGGAGGGAAGGTTACGTCTGGAGGGCCTTTTCAGCGGTCAAGAATGAGAAATCGGAAGGAAAACATGAGGAGGAGGAAGAGGAGGACAAGGACATCCGCATAAAGGGGGTTTAGCGTCAGAGCGCCTACTCAGGCGACCTTTGCGCTACTGCCAAAATCCCCTGCGATTTGTTGTGCTACAGCCCTGCCTTCTAACTAGGGCCGGCAGGGGGCATGCCCCGTAGCTCAAGCACCGAGCTCCGAGGTGGCCCCGTAAGAGAGGCTCGCTACATTACATCACGAGTCCCTTCGGGTCAGTGCCGGGGTAGAGCTGTTGGCCCTTCCGCGCGCCCAAGGGGATGGGGGCGCGCGGGCTTAGCAGGGCGCCCGAGCCAGAGGGGGGGAGGAGACGACTACGCGACTTCAAAAGGAGGAGAGGGGGGAGAGACGGAAGGCCCGAGACACCAAACTGTTGCTGGGGGGGCTGCTACATCTACAGTTTGAATTCCGTGCTCTCCCCTCTCACTCACTCAGCTCACTTCTTGGTCGTACCGAGAGATGTTCCATGTATTGTCACATCTATACTCTGGTACCCTGTTGAAGTAGCTCAAGGTCCTCCCTCGGACTGTGCGGGGAAGAGCATACTGGAAGTCGCGGTCATAGGTGGGGCCAATGAGGAGCACGTTGGTGGGCTTCTTGATGATCACTTTTTCCCCCTTCGACACCCTGCAGTAGTGTACCTGATAATGCTCCAAAACATGCTTCCCATTGCAATGGCGATGCAGGCGCACTGTTGTGCC